TTGTTTGTACCATGGTTGCTATATGGTCATCTGTGCCATAGTTACCGAAATAGTTGTTTGTACCATGGTTGCTATATGGTCACCTGTGCCATAGTTACCGGAATAGTTGTTTGTACCATGGTTGCTATATGGTCATCTGTGCCATAGTTACCGGAATAGTTGTTTGTACCATGGTTGCTATATGGTCATCTGTGCCATAGTTACCGAAATAGTTGTTTGTACCATGGTTGCTATATGGTCACCCGTGCCATAGTTACGTGGTCGTTTGTACCAAAAAAATGACCGTTTGTGCCATAGTTATATGCTCATTTGTACCATAGTTACCTAGTTAATTTTAGTAAAAAAATAGCCGTTTGTGCCAAAAAAATGGTCACTTGTGCCAAAAAAATGGTCACATGTGCCAAAAAAATGGCCATTTTTACCGCGTTACCGACAGACAGACAGACAGAGAGACACAGGTGAATTTCGGTTTCTAAACCCTAGCCTTTCAGTCTAGGAAATAAATGTGCAAAGTTAGCTGATGCTCATCATGAAGTTCAATATAGTTATGTTTATCGATGCTCAGGTTCAGGTATGAAAAACATTTATTTTTGATTTATTAAGAATTTTTATTTTGAATAAGAACTTCGCACCAACATCAACGTTCATGGAATATGACATGATGCAAATTCTTTACTTTCAAGATATTCGACCAACAACAATGAATTGAAGAAAGATACACAGCAATGTTTCAATAAGTAAAATGAACCACAATGAATTGAAGACGAAAAAAAAAGAACAACAATGAATCGAAGAAGAAACAAGATGAACAACCATGAATTGTAGAAGAAAGAACAAAGCAATGCTTCAATAAGTAAAATGAACCACAATCAATTGAAGACGAAAAACAAGAACAATGAATTTTAGAAGAAAAAAATGAATAAAATTAAATTGTAAAAGAAAACAAATGAATAACAATTAATTGTAGAACAGAAGTATGTAGCAACATTTTGAAATAGTAAACAAAGCAACAATGATCAGAATAATCGAGGAAGCGATAACAAGTTGACTATACTTTTAACAAAGATGATGAATATATGTAATCAATAATGTACTGCTTCGATCAAGTAAGCCGGCTTATTACAAAACTTACCTAGAAAAAGAATTATTTTCACTTACATGTTACAGAGTGTTTTATAAGTTCTGAACCTTGACGAAAATCAATGTATATGCAGACAGGGAATGATATTTAACTGAATATATGTATAAGAGATTATCAGGCCTCGTAGCGATCAGTTCTGAGTATATAGGAAAATATAGGACTTTAAAAGAAGAATTTTTATAGGATTTTTATACAAATATAGGGAATATATAGGACTAATTTTTTTCCGTAAGAAATCTTTTAGCAGAATTGCCAAACATTATAATTACTCCTACGATCATAAACAGTTTATACTACATAGACGTTATCAAGTTTATTGAAAACGAATATATATATATTTACACATTTCAATTACTGAAGAAAAGAGATTTGAGAGAGTTCGATCCAAAAAACGTTAACAATCATATAATAGTCTCTAGTTGCTTTATTAAAATATTATTGACTAGTATCTTTATAAAAATAATATAAAATAGAACGTAAGAAAAATGTATAGAAAAAATGCCTAAATATATTTCTATACACAACATATATTCTCTGACTAGGGAGAGGAGGGCGCAAAGAGGTCAAAGTAGGGGTAGAAGTACTTTCGAATATAGAAAAACATGTGAACAACACGTGTCGAATACAGATGACTGGTGTATGGATGTGTGATTAATTCAAGTAAATTTATTTCATTTGTTTGGTCAAGTATATTTTTTTCGAAAACGGATAAGATTCATCTGAAATTTCCCAAAAATGATGGGAATTATTCTCATTTTTCAAAGGTTAGACGCGGTACCGTGCCTTCACCCTCGCCCATATCACACCTATATCTATCTTCGTGATTATTGACATTGAATAGCTTTAAAAATTGCAGAAATAATTATTTGCAAATATGTAAACGAATGACAGGAAAAAATCTCTTTCACGTGATACTAGGATTAAATCAACTTAAGTCTTTTGTTTCTTGTTTTGTTACTGTAGCTGTTTAGCAAATGCAACTTTCTTTTCTTTTGAATAGTAATTAAGTAGTGAACTGCACCGAACTCCAAAATTCAATTACGATTTCAACGGAGTGGCTGAATAAAATTTTTTCGGAGTCAGTATCGGAGCTATATTCATAAAACAGTCAGGGTTTTTTATTGCTGCCTAGCCGTAACTTCCTTATTGATATTTTAACTAATGCAAAATGATATCTACTATTTTTAGCATTATGAATAAGTTTCAAGAAAAGTTAATAACATTAGAGAGATTCACGCTTACAAATAGCAAAACAACGCTTTTTTTCTGAAAATGTTTTTGGCCATTTTGTTTCTGTGGCTTCTGAAAAACCATCACCAAGAATAATGAATTCTACATTAATATACGATGTTCACTATTTACTGATTCATTTTATTATTCATTTGCAATAATTTACGCGTCAAAATGATATTAATGTCGCCAAAATGCAAAGAAAAGCTCGGGACTGGAGTCTAAAATTTTTTTGTTTGGATTAGACGAGAAATGTTTTGAGAAATTTCACAGTAAGAGTCGCCTTTTAGGTCCCAAAATTTTGACATCGCAGTTCACTATCATTAAGAATTCTGTAGCTCTCGATCACTTCTTATTTATGAATTTACTTCTCTTATCATCAACATCAAATAATATTATACTGTCACTACCTGCTATCAGTTCTATTGTGGAAGCTTATGGTAATAGATAGAGAAGAATGTGTATTTTTTCTGACTGAAATATGATTCGCTTCAGGATAATCTTTACTTTTTTGAAATATATAGAAAATATAGGACAAATACCTAACAAATAGGACATTATAGGACTATTTCTAAAGATATAGGAGATATAGAACGACTACACGGCCTGGAGATTAGAATAGCCGTATCGACGTTTCAAATAGTATAGGGTAGTTCCATGGAAGTTCGGACACATTTTACACAAAGTTCTCCGATTGAGCTGAAGCTTTTAGGATTAATAAAGCCAGTTGAGATGATCGTTTTGGTATATTTTGATTTAAGATTTTTCACGAAAGTTGAAGGAAAATGAGTGAAACCACTTTTAGTCACTTTATATATTCTAAGGAAATTTTTAAGCCAATTTATGAGGTGAAAATTGAGTTTTTCATAATTTCAATCATCTATTAGTCACTCCAAATTCAATTCCATCGGTAGGTTTCGATTGCTTGACATCAAGAGAAGTAGTTCTTCAAGAGTTTTCGGGTGTGGGTATATGTGTGGGGTATGGGTGGATGTGGGTAAAGAGAAGATCTACACCTACACCCACATTAAGATATTTGTTCACAACAGTTTGCATTGTTCTTAAATATCAATGTATTTATAAAACTTATTTTATAAAAAGTTGCCTATTTAGTTTCAAAATAGCATAACAATTAATGATTTACAATTTTTATAAATTCATACAGTAGATTGTCTCACACAATGTATTAATGACTAAAACGAATAATATTTGATCAGTTCTTTTCGCAATAAATGTTAGATGATGATGCCTTAAACGTCACTTTATTATTAGATGAATTTTTATCAAAAAAATAAAAATTATATCTCATCAATACATAAAATGCGAAATAAACATTATAGAAATTAAAAAAATAAGTTAGTAAAACAAATTGTTTGTTATCACCGATGAAAATATGAAGGATTCATTTCTTTATAATCATTTTAAGGTAAATAACGAATCAAATCTTTTTCTTCAGAATCTCGTTCTAAATATTCATTTTCAATTAAAAATTGAATGCATTCCTTAAATAAATATTGATTAATATTATTTTTTCATCAAAAACAAACAACTATACTTTGATTTTATCTTCATCGGGTTTAAATTTTAAACTTGATTCTTGAACAACTTTTTCTAACAATAATGAATATTTTAATTGTTTTCGTATTTTCATTATTCGAACGATAGCAGCCTTAAAGACTTAATAAAAAATAGTTAAAAAGACACTTCACTTTTTTTACTTGAATAACCAATTTGTGATCCTCATCTGTTGATGTATATATATAGTTTCAGAATCAATTGAATTCCAAGCGGATGGTTCTGTAGTTTTAATCAAATTAATCATAATTTTATTACTAAAGAAAAAAAACAATGAATACAATAATTTAAAAATTGATATCAGACCTGTGAAATGTTTGATTAATTTCAATCACAGAATTTTCTGTAATTCCACTTTGATTTAAATTTTCATTTAATGTATTTCCATTGATTCCTGCACATTTTAATGTTTCACTTTTTAATAAACTGAGAAGAACTTGTTCGAATGATTCATAGTTCATATCAGTTTTATCTAATATTTGTTCAACTGTCATATTGTCAAATTCATTAAATAAAAGTAAAACAACCATTTGATATGTTGATAATTTATACGACAATAAAAAAAAAAATCAGAAAAATTATTTCATTAAGTAAATTAACTCTTACTTTTAAAATGTATTTTCGTTTGGTATATAAGAAGTTATTCATAAAAGACGACCGAGTAAAAAACTAACGAACATACTTTTATAGTAGAAAAAGAAATAAAAAATACATGAATATTCGAACATATAAAAAAATTCTTTTCTCAAAATTTTTAAAACTTGAAAACCTTGTTGTAAGCCTTGATGGATTATATACAAATCAATAAGCTATATTCAATTTGAGCCATTTATGAAAAAAGAACTGGTTCATCATACAACTCTTAATACCCAGAAAGTTTTTCAATACGAACATTTTGTCGATTTCAATTCTGCGAAAAACGTTAATGAAGAATTTCTTCAATTTAGTGATGTTCTTTATTTAACTATAAGACGAGTGAAGTGTCAATTTTACTAGTCGGTATGACAGCATCAATTGTACAATGTTTTCAAATGAGTTTTCTATTATGTTCTATCTATTTTTATAGAAATTTTAATGAAAAGGTTTTTTCGAGAAATGGTGAATGTGACCGAAAAGAAAGAACCGCTTTCACACCTTCATCAATGTATGACAAATGTGAATGATAAATTGTTCGAAAGAGAAGAAAATCTCCTATCAACTAATTGAAAAAAAAGAATTCTTCCCAAAATCTATTTATTAAAGAGATATAAGGATCAATATTTTGTGTCATTAATTTAGCATTGTATGTTTGTTCTTCCTTATTATGTCTGATACATCGAGGGTGTGGGTGTGGGTGTGGGGTGTGGGTGTGACTCAACAGAAGACCCATACCCACACCCACACCCCACACCCTTTCAGAAAGGTAGCCTATACAAGAGACAAAGACTTTTGCACCTTACTGTATTTTCAAATGAAATCAGTGTCAATAGAATACGTTTTAAGACACTTCAACGAGACAATTATCAGCTGAAAAAAAAATTTTTATCGATTGTGACTTGATAGTATAATGAAGATTGTTTTGAGATGTAGCAAAAATCAAATGTAAGAGATAAAAAAATTGAATAGCAGTTTCATATCAAACATTGTCCATTTGTTTTTCTTTTCATTGTTTATTAGCATTCTGAAGAATTGTTGACTTCATCAAAATCATGATAAAATATTAATAGAATCTTTTGTTTCTGTAAGATTGACATCATTCATATATCTATTATTGCTAATAATAATCTGCATGCTTATAATAGTAGTTGGTTCTTCGTTAATATCAGTCTTAAAGCTTTTCTTTCTCACAAATTATAAAATGGTAAAAAGAAATAATTCCTAATGAATTTTATTAAATGAAAGGTTGATAAAAATAACCATTTTAAAAATAGATTCTCTACAATGGTGAGAAGTCGACAGGAACTCAAATTATATCAAGACAAGTGTTGCCTGACATTTTTAACAAGAAAAGAATGTAGAAAAACTTAGTCGTTAAAAGGGTAAAAAAAAAATATTTGTTTCATAGTAAATTTAGAACTAGGAAAACAAAGTTATGTTCTTTTATCAATAATAATAATCTATTAACTAATAGAACAGATGTGTGAAGTGATGATTTAGTAGGTGCTGGTAACACATTAAAATATCAAACCTGTTTTATTTTCTTGCATCAGAGCCTGCTACACTTTTATGTATAGAAGAATAATCATTCTATTTTAACTGAACTCGTAAAGACTATTTTTTTAAAGGCATGCAGTTCTGTACGATTTTCTTCATCTTAACAATAGATTTAACACTCAGTAAGAATGACGAATATAGAGTAAAATTTTGAAAACTATAATCTAACTACGAAAATATCTACTGAATGTCGACTAGCTTTGGTACAGATCTAAAAAAGAAGTTCTTGTTTGGATATAATAACAACGTATCCGTTCAGAACACTAGAAGGAAGAGAAAGTCATGATAAAATTATAGACAATATTAAATAGGAGTATCTTGGAGGTGTGCGTGGATATGAGATACCGTATGTTGTTAAATCTTCATAAATTTTTGATATAATTTGTTCGAATTCCAAGCGATAGCGTATGCTCTCTTCATAAAGGTCTTTGATTTTGTTTTGTAATTAAAATAAGTTAATCATGTTTTTTAATTATTTATATTTAATTTAATTATCAAATATTTTCTTTCCTGTCATCGATCTTTATATTTATTTATTTTTCTTATTTTTCAGTTGTGTTTTAGTAACAATCTTACGTTTGTCAAAAACATGTTAGAAAAATTTCAAACTCGTACAGAGTCTACTCCTATTTGAAGTGATCATATGATAATCAAGATATAGAATAACAATATTATATCCAACTGCGAGTATTCATTTGAGTCTCTGCTACAAGAACTACAAATGTAAATGTATCCAATTTTTATAATTCTCTTCTATAAACTTCAAAAAAATCTATTTATAAAATTTAATTTCCAGATCAATATTCATTTTTAAATATATTTGAAATAGATATTGCACTCTAGTCACTGAGCTATCCGCTCAAGATTTTATTTTTCTGCGATTTGGGAATGATGCTTTTCCGCCATTCGCTCGTAAACACACAACATGTCGTCAGATGAATGATTTTTACTATTCTTGTCATTCTTTCTATTCATCATACACACTATTCTCTATATAAAGAGTGAGCCAAAAGTCTTCTTAGTACTTCGTAGAAAAATTTACTTTTTTCATTTATGACAAATTGAGAAATGCTCAAAGTTGGATAGATAGTCAATCAGCATTATATTTGTATTATGCTAAATTTTCCTAACTATAATCCAAGTTATAACGAAGATATATAACATCGAGTTAAGAGAAGAGTTTTTTTCGCATGATGTGATACAATTTTTACTCATAAAAAGCTATATAGAGTAATTGATTTTCATCCTAAATAAAAAGGCAAACAACTCAATGTTCTACGTTTCCATCCGCGACCTTAGTCGGTTTTGTTGATTGACCAATGCTCCTTATTAATCAAACATTAAAATCTTCTCTTTTGATGACTACGTTCGTGTATAATTGATTCAAGTTAAAAGTTATTCTTCAAACGTTAATAATTATTTCAGTGATATTGATATTTAATTGTAAAATTGATGAAACTGGAGAAGAATATATATAATAATCAAACATCGAAAAAAAAATTGCCGAAGAAACTATCATAATGTCCAATGTTCAGAACATAGCGTAGAGCTAATCGAAGCTGTGGAGACTTAAATTATATGCCATAGATACCTAATTAAGCTGATGACATGATATTACTCCGAAGAAATTTCCACTAGTTCATTTGTTGAAGTTCTGCTTTTTACCTTTTCTCCTCTTCTAATTTTATCCAAGTTCTTGATGTTTTTTAAGTTTCGCGTATTGCAAAAAGAAACTTCTCTTAATTCGATGTTATATATCTTCGCTATAACTTGATTTATAGTTATGAAAATCTAGGATAATACTCATCCAGTATTGATTGAATATCTTTCCAATTTTGAGCATTTCTCAATTTTTCATAAAAGAGAAAAGTGAATTTTACTAGGAAGTACCAAGACTTTTGGCTCACCCTTTATAACTATATGCGCATATACGTAGAAAGAATCGAAATATTTTGCATCATTCGATAAATTTCAATTATCGTTGACTTTCTTTGTTAGAAAAAAAAATTTTTTTAAATGATAGCATCTTTCGTATATGATTCTCTTTTCTTGATCTTCGACTAACAAGAAGTTGAAAATATCAATCATCTTACATTTAAAGTGTATCATTAGATTTATTATAAGAATATTATTATAAAATATTGCGTCGAATGTTAAACATGATTGAGTATTTATAAAAGATAATATCAATAGGACTGATTCATTTTTTTGTTTGATTGAAACATAATAATATATATATGAAAAAAAAGAATCAAATAATGCGAATGAATGAAAATAGAACAAATAATTATTATTCATAAGAATAAATTTTTCAAGATACTTTGATGAATGTTGAAGAAACGCATGTCATGAATAATATTTCTGACTTTTACTGAAAAAATTTTTAATAAGAAATTAATAAAATAATACATTTACAACAAAAAAACAGTAAACAGAAGCAAAACAAAAAAAAGATGTATATTAACATGTGTCAATTTCAAACATGCTATGTAGAACGTATTTAAAAAAAATTAAAATAGACCGAGCTTTGGATCTCTATAACGTTGGTACGGAAAATTTTTCTCTATAAAATTATATTTTCAATGTTTTTCAAAATAATGTTTATAACGAGAAATAATCGATAGAAACTGATCTATGAAAACACAATAACGCTTATGATTTGATTATGAATCGATGATTCAACCCTTTTTTTTATTGTAGACTACTTATATTATATTCAATATTGTTTGAATAAAAAACTAAATTATCTTTGTCCTAACTCAATTGATGCTTTTGTTTTATTTTCATTTGTCGATATTTATTACCATGCGAATTATAATAAACAGTACTCGATGTAAGAAGAAAGCAAAAGGATAAAAAAGAGAACCTTCACACACCTGCAATGCATTCATATATTTGATAATAGTTGTTAAACAAATGGGTCTATTATCCGAAGATAATTCTTTATCATAGACTGAAATCAAACTTGCTATTCAATAAATACGAACCTATCCGTCTTGATCAACTTGTATGTGTCTTTAACAAATATAAAGATCGACAGAACGATGTATTTCTATGGGGAGATGAGGTAATACATTTTTCAAGTATTTAGTTATTTCATTCGTATATTTTTTACTTTGTTAAGGTTTAGTTAACATTAGTTAAATTTGATCATAAAAATAAAAATGTTCGATTATTATTACAAATTTTAAGCGAATGAAACAAAAGAATTGATGATAAGTATATATTTTATATAAATATATCTATCATAATAATATATTGAAATATTCATAGAGCATGTCGTATAACTTGGCATTCTGATAAATGTGATTTTGTTATTGAAGGCATTCCATTCCAATCTTATGGCTTTTCATCATCTTATTTAAATACAGTCGAAGCAAATATGAGACTAAGAAGATAACAAGTACAACGAATTTTATTTGAACAAACCGATTGTCAATATATTTTAAATATTTCTGCTTTTCCACGGTAATAATTAAATATTTTTATTCTTGTTTTTTTATTGATCTTTTCATTTTCTTATAATGAGTAATTAAAAATATTTTCATTTATTTGAAGGAACCTGCAAATATTTCGAAAATACGAAAATACGAAATTAAAATTCGAATTTCGTTTTCTTTTCGCATATGAATTCAAAATTTTTGTAAGAAATTAAAGGCTAAATTATTTTCTACAAAATGACTTTAAACAAACTAATCATAAATATACTTTTTTTTGTATTAAGAAATATATGCTGCATTTCAAATGATTTTTTTCTTCTACTTTGAGAAGTTTTTGTCGAGCTAAAATTTATCGAAGCTTCGTTGATGAACCTTTAAAAGGATAGATCATACATTTGAAACTAGAAGTTCTACAAAAATCTTAAACTCACATACAAACGAAATATAAAATTCTTATTGTACTCCAATGTTTTTATATTTTTTCTATCTTTTTAAAACGATTAAAAATAAATGAACATATTTTCTATTTTTTTTTGTTAATCATGCATTGTACAAGATATGAACAAGGACAAAATACACATATTCACCAATTAAATATGATCTTTCATATTCCGTTGAAAAATCTTTATGTTATCCCGATACACTTATATCATCTCATCATCTAAGAATGAACTAAAATCAAATATTCTTGTTTCTTTTATGAAAATTTGTTGTATTGAAAGATTTTTATCAACAAATATGAGTGAACGGCGTCAATCTAAAGTATCAATTAATATTCTAAGGAAGTTTTGTTTGAATAATTTATTAGCTAAACTAAATACAAATACAAATTATAAAATATATCATTTTGTTAGATGATAATCAAATAAAAGCAAAATCTTCAGTAAATTATTGATGAATATTCTATTCATATGTAACTCATTGATGTATCTTGAATTAATCGTCATTTTAATAATTAGACATGAATGAATATTTATTTCAAAAATAAAACATTTGCATTCTAATTGAAAATAATTACATAAAATCAAACAAACATATGGATAACACTCGAATTTTATTCTCTTTTAATACACATTCAAAGAGTTATTTTTATCTATCATGTAATTAATAATAAAAATGACTCATCATTTATTCCAACCAAAAAGAAAAATGAATTTTCTAAAATCTCTATAGAATTTATCTTAATGACACATAGTCTTTAGTGTGCTATAATGCATAATGGATACTGATTTTTTTTAAATCTATGTATAACTTAACTAATATATACTTAAGCTATTTAGGCAAAATCATAGTAAAAAAACATTAAATTTTTCAAAGATGTATAGAATAATACATATTCGTTATGGATATCAACTATTTGACGTGTGCTATATTAGACTTTATTTCTTCAGAGAAAAAAAAACAACATTATGCTTAAATAATTAAGAAACTATTAACTATTGGTTTTTATGGCAACGAAACATTATTCCTTTAAAAGAAATTCAATTTCTTTTAAAGGAATAAATCATAATTTTGAATTAACTCAATGTCAAATTTTAAAATTATTTTCACGTACTTAAAAAATTCGAATAGAAAAAGAATCTTGATCATTCATTTATTAAAAATCTCATCATAGGTATAGTTTAAATAATAAACGTTAAGTATTTTTGACCTAGTTTAGTTCCGAGAAACATCACTAATGGATTTTATTTCTAAATAATATGCCGATAGATCTATGATAAAGATTTATTGATCTTGCAACAAGATGAAATCTATAGAAAACAATTAGATTTAATGACTCTCCTCCTTCATAATCGAAGAATAAAGGCAAACGATTAAAATAGTATAGGTTACAGTTAAACTTAGAAAAAAGAATAGTATTTATTTATTTATTTACACGTAACAATCAATAAAGACTAGATTTAAATTCTTCGTTGCACCACTAGATAAGAAAATGACTTAGAGAATTGAACGCATTCATTTGCTAACTTTTCGAAGGAAGTATTATGAAAATATTGACCCTATGAAAACTGTTCCTTATTTTAATTGAGATGAAACTTTCAATATTTTTTTCTGATAAAACATTCTTGAATAATACCAAGAGAAAGATTCAAAGATTTTTCATAATCGTTTGAAAAAATCTCTTTTGTTCATAATCTATTTAGTTTTTATCAAATATATATTTAATTTGTTTTTTTAGTATTCAAAAATTCATGTACACCGGGTGTGGGTGCGTGGGTGGGTGTGGGTGTGGGTGTGGGTGGGTGGGTGTGGGTGTGGGTGTGGTTATGAATACAAAGAACATTCAAATCCACACCCACCCTGATAGTGTTGAGTTGATAACTTCAATCTAAATCAACCAATTCATGGCGGAGTGGTCCTTGCGATCAGGGTTCATTGAGACCAGTCTTTATCTAAAATATCAGCCCTATATCATAAGAAATAATACTAGTTCAAGGGGGGCGGTTATTTTTGTCCAGGACAGTATGTAAGTTTTATTTAAACTGGTGTGGTTCGTAAACATTTTTTTCCAAAATGTTCTGATGTTTTCACTCCACATCCACATAAAAAACAAAATTGTTTCATACATGCACTGCATATTATCCAATTATCTTGAGTAATCTTTACATTGATTTTTTTACACGATTTATTGGGACATTTTGCCACTCGGTTAAGTATAGCCGAGCCAATAACCGATTTATTATCAATTGAAATTTTCAAATCTTCGTCGTTTTCTTCTTGTTCTTGTTCGTGAGCTTGATCAGAAGGTATCTCTTCATTTTGTTCGGCTTTTTCGTGTACAGAAGTTTCAACTAAAAGGAAAAAAATGTAAATAAATAATTATCATCTGACAAATTAAACAGAAGAGAACAATAGATAAGATATATTGGTTATCATCAAATCCGTTGTTTTTTTTTTTACATGATAGCCAAATCTTAAGAATGATACTAATGTTATTCCAAGATATAGATTTACAACAGTTTCTCATCAATTTTTGAAAATGAAGAGACTAATCTTATGCTACTCTCGTAATCATGTGCAGATATGAATTGAAACAGATATAAACTGTTATAAAACTAACAAGTTGAATAGTATGGGAATTCCTTTCAAACTTGGTAAGAACACTTAAAACGATAATATCTGAGAGTTGCAATAGAATATTATATAATACTCTAAAAGATTTCATCATATTAAACACTTTGTTGTAGTGCAAAACGTTTTTATTCAACAACAGTTCATTTGTTACTAACCTAAATATGCTGCTTTGTTGAATTCTTCTTTTATAGATTCAACTTCTGTAAAATCTTCATTTTCTAAATATGGAGTAATAATTGTTGTTATTGGTTCTTGTGTTGTTTGCCAAGTAAAATCGAAATTACATCGTGTACAATGCATGTGTGAACAACCACCATTTTTTTCGATTGCTATATGACATTGAGGGCAATATTGAATACCTTATGAATTAATTCGTTCAGCAGTTAATATTTCTTGTAATAGGCTATTTTGTTCAGATAGTTTAATAATAATTTTACGATATCTTTGCGTAGCAATATTTTGTTCTTGCAAGGATTTTTTATGTGCTTTAGTTTTAGTTAATTGCGCTAATGCAGCTTCTTTTTCTCGTTGAAGACGTTCAAGTTCTTTTTGTTTTTGTAATTTCATTTGTTCAATTAAATAATCTTTAGGACACATTGCTTGAGAATGAAATGTTTCATAACATTTTTTACAAAATGTATAACGACATCGATCACATATAGCTAAATTATCATCATCAGGACCACTAATAACAGGTGATTGACATCTAAATAATATTTTCTTTTAGAATATTGCTTATCATATTCTCTTAAAATTTCAAGTTCATTTTAATTATAAGGTATTATATAGTATGAATAGTTTTGCTTCAAATATAATTTGGATCTGATATCATTCTATAATATGAGATATGGGTTTCGTATTGGCAATCTGTAACAATACTCTTTGTTTGCTTAATGTTACTCATTGTCACTATATAATTGTGTGAAATTCCCAGAACGATATATGAATAGGTCAGTTAAGAGATTGTAAAGCTTTTTGACTTTGGTAATTGAAGTCAAAACTCTATCAGGTTCAAATTTGTTAGGACTGGATCCAAAATTAATAATAATTATGAATTTAATTTTCATGAATCTTTAAAAACGTGAAAGCTTCTTTCAGTGTCAAACTCACCTTCTTCATGCAATCATAACACTAGCAGATAGTTTCTCAGCCTTCAATCTAGAATCGCATTTTCCTAAAGAAGAAATACTTGAGAAACAGATCTTGATATAGTTTTCTATTTCGAAAACAATCACCAGAAAACTTCTGAAGTGTTTTATGCAAAATAATCTAATTGTAATCTTCATGTAGGCAATGATTTAGATCGCAATTCGAAAATATGATATTGCTGCAAATGTGGAGTCCTAATCATGACAAAAATTTACGAAAAATGTTCGATCTACTTAGAAACCAGCTGTAAACGCGAACTCTAATAATAATAGATGCACTGCATTAAGGTCTACAAAACAAGAAAAATTTTGGCTGAAAAATAAATTAGAAAATGTATATGCACTCTCAAATAGCTGATTAAATCTGTTATAGACATTGTAACAATAAAAAGAACAATGTTTTGTAAAAACCTTTGCAAAAAATCTGTATATGTCTACTAGTCAAATCAAAATAACTTATTGATTTTATCTAACCTTGGACGCCAAACGATATCCTTCATTGATTCAAGTCCATGTTTTAATGTTAATCGTTCATATCTTTCATATAATTCTTCATTTTGAATAGTTTGTTTTATTTCTGTTGGAAGTAAAACTTGTTTACAATGATCCTGTGGACAATGAAGATTTTCTCCAAATTTTCCATTGTCAAATGTCATGCGAATATAATGATTTAAACAAGGACGACAATAAAAATGTCCACAACGATGAAGACGAATACAATCTAAACCTGGAATAATATCTGTACAAATGGAACATGTTTGAAGTTGATTTCAAAATAATTCTTCTTCACGTCTTTGATTATAATCAATTAAATTTTGAAAAATTTTTTCTCCATTTTCAATATTATAACCATTTAATGCTCTTGGATCATTTTCTTGTTCTTCAAAATTGGTACGAATAATAAATTCATTAGTTATTTCTTGTTTTATTAATACAATACAATCATAAACACAAACTTCTCCTGGAATAAATAAAAAATGATCAATTTTTCGACAAAGTTTTTCTAAATCAATTTTTGAAAAATAAAAACATAATAGAATAAATGATGGTGGATCATCACTTGGATATTCATCATGATAATTAATTATAAGAGATAATGGTGGTAAATGTTGAATAATAGATATTTTATCTTTCAATCGTATTGTAAATGATGTAGGTAAATCAAATTCAATTAATACTTCATATTGATTTTCATTGAGTAAATGAAATTTTTTATCAAAAATTGATTGTAATGCTAATATTTCATCAGCTTGATTTTCAGAATTTGTCATTTTTGTCAAATAAATACTATTCAAAGTTTATTGCAAGCATAAAAAAATGGCTTTGTAACTACATGTCAATTTTTCTCGTTTTTGTGCAATAACTATATGAAATAAAACTATATAATGAGTCATCAAACTAACAGAACAGAATAAACGCAAAAAAGTGTCACATTTTAAAATAAGAAATAGAACACAACAATATGTTATAGGGTGTGGGTTTGGGTGTTGGTATGAGTGTGAGGCTGTGTTAACACTGTATTTGTGCCACAACCATCCACACGCGCACTCCACACTCTAATTAAGGAAAACAAGTAATTTTGAATCATATCTAGACTGAAATTTATTTTCAAGTATCTATATTATTATAGATACAAAGAATCACTGTTGTGTATTGTAAAATATTATTTTATATTCATGATTATTTCCTTTTTCTTTCAGTCTCCTTACAAACACAATATATACTATTAAAAAATCAATAAGAATCAAGTAATAAAATCGATCTTATATTTCAATTGAAAAACAGCTCTTAGGTCAATGATTAGGTGGAAACGAATCTAATTGCCTTTGTAATCGTCGGAGATAAATATTCATATTAATTTGTTCGCTAAAGAGCATTTTTGTGAAGATTCAATTGAATGTATTTTTATTCCAAGAGTTACCAAGCATGCCAGGATAATGGTACATGGATTTTATAACAGTTTTGTCTACTAGTTCCTTGTATACTTGTGGAACTGAAACCGTTATATTGAACGAAATGATGATTGAATTTTTATCGAACAATGAAACCATTCATCTCTCCTAAGTAGCAATTTGAATCTGAGCGACATTCATATCTATCACACTTGAAAATGCCACTACAAATCGATAAAATATGATTGTTTTTTATTAGTATCGTTCATTTGACATTTGAAAAGCCGCTGACAAATTGAATCATTGACGACTTCAACATAATTCATATTGGACACAAACAAAAAAGTTTGTTTTGAAGCATTTGGCAAATATTGATCCATTCGTGTGTAACATTCTATCACTGATCGTATGATAATCGATTACATGATCACATTTAATATTTCAGTTTGTTTGCAATATAAAGTGATAAATGCGGCTTCTTTCTTGAAAAAATTATAAATTAACTACTTTATATCTTCCAGTCAATTGAAAAACTTCAAAGATTTTGTAACATGCAGCTGCGATGGAATTACAACAAAAAAAAACCAATCAAAAAGATACAGAAAAAAATGAAACACATTAGAGAGAAATAAAATTGAAGCATAAAAGATAGGCGACAACAAGAGGATTACATTAATAATAGTAATTATAAAAAGCGATAAAAAACATTGGCAAAAGAAAACGAATTAACGATATGATGAGATTTAGACTCGGGAATTGAAAATTCCGAAGACTGTTCTCTCTATTCAAGTTTATCGATAAAGCTAGGACAATAAGAAAGGTATGGGTACTTCTAAGATTGAAAAAATAGGGTGGAAAAACAGAAATTCACATGTGTCTATTGGTAACACGTGATACAAGCGACCACGAGGATAGTACAAGACGAACAAAGCTGAATTTCCGTTTCTACACCAACATCTCAGCTTAAGTCAAGTGAATTGGATCTTAATGAGCAAACAACTATGAGATTTTCATTGTTCGACAACCTCGAACTTTTGTCTGATCTTATGATTAATAAATCATTCATCTCTTGAGGATAATGATTTTCAATCCATTCTTGTGCTCTTAATGCTATGGAAAACTGATGAGGATTATCCTCTATTATTTTAGCTCTATCGTGACGAAGTGCTTCAATAGTTATGCATATTCCTTTTCTTTTTAATATTTGTTGAATAACCGTATAAGCAGAATCATTATTTGTATTGGAAATATTATATTCGTTCGTATCGTTTGACATTAATTCAAAATATCCTACTTTAACATTTTCCTGATTATCTCGGTCTCTTTTATTGTATAGTACTATGCTTGTACATTTAGTTTTATCTTCGTGTGTTGGTTCATAACTAGGATCATCAACTAATTTTAGTTCTAAGCCATGCTTTTCGGCTAATGTAAGTATGTCCGATATATTTGCTGGTAGATTCATTTTGACACCTGTAATATAATCACTTATTTTCTCATCGAATTTTTGACTATTTATTTCATCTCTTTGCTTAGTATAATGAATCATTTCACATTGGCTATATGCGATAGTATAATCTTTAGCATTTTGCCCAATTTGTTCTCTTATGGTATTATATGTTCTACTGTTTTCTTCTCGGTTTTGACTAAGTGAATTTTGTTTTTCGTCTACAACTAAATACCGTTCGACTGTTTCTGAAAAAATATTTGTTAAGTTTCCTGTAGCACAACTATTCAAAGGCAAGATAAGTTGTGATTCTGTAATTCTGAATATTTGTTCAGTAATTATATCTGATACTAATTTCATTATTTCATTTAAATTATCTATATTTGAAATATTTGAATACAAGAATTTCAAAACATTTACAATTTTCTCTTTCGATTCATTGAATTGATTCAAATGAGTACGAATAATTTCTTCGGAAAAATTTTCTTCGTTAAACTCTTCATTTTGATTGATTATATTTTGCTCTTGTAGAATATTTATGATATTTGTGACATCATTTCCATCAACTTCACAATAACGTTGTAAAATATGGCGCATGGTTAAAGTTTCTTGATCGATATTCGAAAGTTTTTTTAAAAGTTGATTATAAACCCTATCGACAATAAAAATAATTTCACGAAATTGTCTCAGATTACAAAGTATTATGTTACCAATATTTGCGAAACTACGTGTTATCGACATACTAGATAAAATACGTTTGCATAATACATCAGCCAAGACGTCAAATTCATTACTCCATACGTTATCTTCAGGATTAATTATTTCAAATAGTATTTTATGAAGTTTTTCTTTAAAATATGTTTTTTTAGTAAATAAATCAAGTGTATACATTTTATTCACTATCGTTTTTAAAATAGATCCACAAAATTTCGTATAAACTTCCCTTTGTATGGATTCCGAAACTTTCGGCTTCCATTGATTCAATAAAAAATGCGAACTAACATCCATTGATTTACTTAAACATTCTCTTATAATATTTTTCTGAATTGTTACGGCGATAAGCTTAACAGCTAGACTATTCAAATTTTTCCTGGCTACATTCAATGTTTGGTATACAGACCTACCATTTGTTATTACTCTTGTACCAGCTTGTTCAAGTACTTCTTCTCCTACACCCACGACTAAGTTTTGAGCTCCTTTAGCTGCATCTTTGAGTGGTGAGAGTCCTATTGAAGCTATTGAAATAATTAGACTTACTGCTTTTTGTTTGGCAAAATCGGACCAAGAAAATTGTCTCGTACTATATACTCTGTAAGCAATAAACAAATCTGCTCCTCCTTCAGTGACAAGACTCATTCCTAAAGTAGCTCCAAATCCACTAGCTATTAATAGTCCACCTACTGCCATTTGAACACTAGCTAGAGAACATATGATAGCTATACTTGTCCATGGAATAAATTTTTTTTCATTAATTTCAATCAAATATTCGATACCTCGTCCAGAAAATTCAGCTAATTCTACATTAGGTCGTAGTTGACTCATGAATAATTCACTCAAAGTTCTAAATTGCTGAACTTCTATGTTCTCTTGTTCTATTGGAGCTAATTCTATTATTTGTTTCACTTGATTACATGTCAGTTGTGAAAATACTAAACTAAATTCTAATTTATGTTTTCTTATCTGTTCAATAATAGTTTTTGCCGCGTTTTTTCTTAACATATCGATTTTTACATTTATAAGTTCATCTTTTAATCCAATCAAAAGACAACTATTTTTTATATTAATAAAAGTTATATTAAAATTCGCATTAGAACAAATATTAAGTACATTTTCTACAATACTTTTATTTATATCAATTAGTTTTATAGTCGCAAATGTATTTGAAATTTCTAAAATTTTTTTCTCAGCTGTAATCCTATTTACTACTTCAATAATACTTTGTTCTTTTACACGATTATACAACTGTATCTGCTCCGTTGTTAAGGAACGAATAACTTCTAATAATGTTTCTTTTGTGTTGGTGAGTTCAAGAGTAAGAGATCTAGATACTATCGTTCTTAACTTTTCTCTAACACTCTCTACTCCTAAATCAATGAATTCGACTGTTATATTTGAACGATATAGTACTTTTTCTAAGATTTTTGCTGTTTTATTAGCGGATATAAAACTCAAATTGAACCGTTCATTTTGATCTATTCGTTCTTCGATTCGTTTAATTGCGACAGTGGCCTTTAGATCAGCCATGTTCTCGAGTTTATTGTTATTCTCGGAAATAATTTCTAAATTAATTCGGTATAAATCGACAAAGCAAGCTTGTGGTAATAAATACCGATTGAAAAAAAAATTCTTCTCTTTCAATTGTGTTAGAGCTTCTTCTTTCGTCAAGTCTTTAACTTCAATATTAGGATTTAGATATTCTCTTAATTTATCTGCCTTAACCTGTTGCATAGTTATATTTATATGTTCATAATCATGTTCCAAAATTCCACTTTTCTTTAAAAAATTTGGAACTTTATTGAAAAATGAAAATTCACCATTGATATCAAACAAACTACCTTCATCTTGAGGTAATATCTTATCGATAATTTCTATTGCTTGATCTTTGATTTTACTATCTTGTCTAACAGTTAAATCATTAAATGTTACTTCGTATTGATTATGATCTGTTGACTCTTGAAGAAATACTAGAAATTCTTCTCGAATATGACCATTTTTTGATGTAAGTTTCTCATAAATTAAAGTATAAATTTTCATATGAATATCTCGATCAAGAATTGTTTCATCATACGATAAAGCTGCAAGTACATTAGCCAATGTAGAATCGTCCACTATCCATTCCCTTAATCGACATTGAATTTTGTCTTTATAAACAACTGTAAATGTATTATGTATTCCTTTCATAACTATAATTTCTTTACCATTTTGAATTGATGTCTTATAATGATTTAGATTATTATGAGATATTAAACGCACATCGCACCATTTTCCACATCCTTTTTCAATTCCATCATATGAAATTATCTTTTGAGAGATTTCGCTTTGGAAATTTACTAAGTCTTTTTTCGTAAAAGATTTACTATTAATTTCATTTTCTCTTAACTTTGAGTAATCTATTAATTCAGTTATTTGAATTAATCTTTGCGATTTCTTAATAATATTTACAGCATTTTCTAAACTATTACAATAAGAACTAAGAATATTATTCTTTTGCATTAATTGTTTACTAAGATCCGTATTCATATTCTGACAACGATGTTTTAGAAATGATTGAATAACTGTCAATGTTGATATTTCTTCACTAAGAATTTCAAGTGCTTTGTTAAATAATCGAATAGCTGCCTCTTTATAACCTATAGATTGTTTATTGGAACCAAAAAAATTTTCTTTACCTTTCAATGTTAACCAACCTTTTCCAGCAAATGCAGCTGCAGTATGTTTTGGATCAAGTTCTATAGCTAGATCAAAATGTTTCATCGCATCATCATAATTTCTGCGTAGGGAAGACTCATTAATGACTAAGTCATTAGCAATGGCAATGTGACAATAAGGATTTTTAATAATACAATCATTTTCGTAATTTTTTCGGATGTTTTTACTAAATTTTTCAAATCGTTCATAAAATATTTCATTATCAATTGGAGATATTTGATTATCTATTTCACGTAAAAACATAGCCCATTGTTCTTCAATGCTGAGAAGTATATTAGACTCAAGAATAGACGGTGAAATTTTTGTCAATATTTTCTTCGCTTGACTTTTTACTTTTACATATAAACTACTTTTATCTCTAATTTTTTGTCTTATTTCATTTAACAACAAACAAAACTTGGTAAAAAGTTCATCTTTTAAAGTAATTATTTTAAGTTCACGCTTTTGAAAATCATCTAAAATGTTTGTCTCAATGCTGTCTCGTAGTTCGGTGATTTTTTGTATGTTGAAATTTTCATAATGAGCTAAACTAGAAGCATTTATTATTCTTTGACCTGTACCACGTTTACCTTGTCGTGCAGTTCTACCAAATGCTTGTTCTTCAACACGTTTATTCGGTGGCATAAATGTAATAATAACATGAAGACCACCATATTTTTTAATGTTATCTGTTTTTATATCATTACCTCGAGCTGCTAAATTCGTAGCTACAATAATTTCTCTCGGATATATTTTTTCAATATGTTTCTCTTGATTCATATTATTCATCGTATATAATTTTATCGTACCTGAACTGTATTCTCGTTGGAGTTTTTCTACTATTTGTGTACTATATTCGATTGTCTCACATATAACAAGTATTCCTCGTTCTTTTCTCGATTCATTAATTGCCGAACGACATATTTCATTAAGCCAATCAACTTCATTAGTTAATACGAGATCAGGTAATGAAAGATACTGTTTTTGACGCATACTGGGAATAATACCCAGATTTACATTATATATATCGGCTAAGACTTGCTTAGCTTTTTCGGAACCAAGTGTTCCCGTAAGACCAAATAAATTCGAACCATATTTTATGAAAAATCCTTTATTCGATAGAAAATTCGTAGTAAAAGTTTCAGACGTCATTCTTAGATTATGTTTTAGTTGCAAAAATTGATGGAGACCATCACCCCAATGTGAAAAACTCTGAACAATACCTGTACTAGCGTAGTCTACTGGTTTAATTAAACCTTGATGTACGACATAGTGTACATTTTCCTGATAATTTAATGCAATCATAGCATTATCTATCCATTTACACATTTGTGTATCAACAAATTCTTCAAAACTTTTTGGTATAATAGTTAATCTATTAAGTAAATCTCTAATGTAATTTTCTATATCTTTTTTAATAAATGTTTCAACTTCAATATTTTCTGAAATTAATATTCCAATATGACTAATATTCGAAATAGATTCTATGTAGATTTTTAAATCAGGAATTTTAATAATATTTCCTTGTTGTTCATCAATATATTCTAGAATGATTTTCTCTTGTTCAAAACTAATTTTTCCATGAAATAAATAAATTTTGTTATTAATTTCAAGCATTCTATCTTGCAAATAAATAAGTCGATACCATATTGTGTAGTATATTAGTTGTAATTGATCTATTCCTGGAATGATAGTTGCAAGTCTTGCAATTTTTGAACTATCATCAATAAGCATACTATCTACTTCATCTACTATAGCAACTTCAAATTTTCTATTTCCCAATGTATTAAGTTGACTATATTCTGTTCTTAGAGTATCAAATTGAAATTGTGCTACTTCACCATAAACTATTTCACTCTTATAACAAGATTTAGGACCTGTCCAATAAATTGTTTTATCACTATTATCACTACATTGTAGATTAAACATGTTGTAGAAATTTTCCTTTTCTTTTGCATCTCTTTCTGCGAGTACAGGTGAACTAGTAATAACATCAACTTTATTTCCTTTTAATGCATGTATTACTGCTAATACAGCTATAATTGTTGATTTACCTTCACCAGTTCCTACTTGTAATAGCATTCCTTTGTCGGTATTTGCTTTTAAAAGAATTATACAACTTAAAATTTGAGCATCAGTCAAATGAAAACCACTGTCTAAGAGATAAGCTCGTTTTATTATGGCTAAAGTTTCTACAATAAAATCGTCTGTAATTTTACACGAAGAGACATTATTTTTTATTGTTTTTGCCCATTCTTGAATTTCATCTTTAGTCCATTCAGAGATATAGACTTGTCTTCTCTTTTTCAATTTTTCATCAATTCTATAACCCATAGTTTGATTGACAATTTTAGAAATTAAATTAGTACTCTTGATATTATTTATTAAATCTACTAATTTTATCAAGTTTTTATTTTGAGAATTAGTTTTTTCAAATTCTTCTATTAATTCTGTTACATTTCTTAATTGACCTATATCGCGAAATTTAGCTTCAACTGCAATTATATTTATCAATCGTTGCCAATTCTGTGCTGATTCTTTGAGAGCTTCTGATATCTTTTCTAGATTTTCTACTGTTGGAATTACACTATATTGCGATAGTATTTCTAGGACATAAAGAAAATTTATTTCTTTGATTCGTTTCTCTTCATTATTCAGAGCGATAAGATTTTTAAAAATCATATTCAATTGTTCAAAAGACCATTGACTATCTAATAAATTACTAAGAATCAAAGTTAATTTTCTATGATCAACATTTACGATTTGATTATTCAAAGATTGCAGTTCAAATGATCTTTTCAATGTTGAAATATTTTTATATTGAACATTTATATCGAATATCTTAATTTTATTTTCTTCGACAAAATCTAAAAACTCTTCAAATTCTCTTAAATCGTCTATTATATGTATTGTATTCAGAAGTTTTTTACTTATATCAAAACTAAATTTTATAATCATTTTACGTACTAAATTATCGATATATTTTTTATTTATTTCTTTATTTGATAAACGTTCAAAAATTAGATCTTTGAAAAATTTTTTGAGAATATCCTCGTATGGATTTGAACTATTCGATAGGATATTATAAATACTTTCAAAATCAATGTTCTTTAAAATTCTTATAAGTTCATTACATTGATTAAATGAAATCATATTATTTAACTGAATTCGATGTAATAATTTAAGTAATATATCACTTTGATCTTGTTGAAATCCAGTATATTCTTCAATTTCAAGCCAAGTTTTATAAAAATCAAATTGTTCTATTTGATTTAATGTAAATCTTTCTAACAAATCAAAAATTAACAATTCTCTATTCCATTGATTTTGTGGTTTATTATAAATTTTGTTAAAATCTATATATTTTATTGTACTAATCGTTTCAAATAAATCTAAATCCATGACTACCTTAACCCTTGTATGAAATTCCAGATTGATCATGATGTTATTGCACCATTCTTCAAATATCTTAGACTTATCATTCCTGTCATATGCTACTCTTAGACCTCTAAAGGACCAACTTCTTATTCTGTCATTATCGTTTGAAAGATATTTTTCTAAAGTCTCGTTCTTTGATATACCCATAACTTCAGATATCAGAGCAATACATGTCAGTAATTCAACTTCAACATTTAGAAATTTATTACTATCTAATAAATCTACTAAACTATCTAAGATTTTCGATAAATTATTTGTTTGATACTGTTTCATTTTAATAACTTCTTGATAGGTCATGAGAATATTTTTGTTTATATTTTCAAATAAAATTGCCTTTTCTAATCTATTAACAATCGATAGTTGTGAAGAATATGTCGGATTATGTTTTAAGATCAATACAAATATATGAAACAATTCTTGTTCTAACTTCATGCAAATATCATAGTCATTATTAGTAATTTGAATGGAAAGCAATTTTGACATCGATAGATCAGATAATTTATAATCTTGATTAAACTCATGTCGAATATTTTCTAGAAATTCACTAAAATCTTTTAGGTCAATATTATCTATACTAACAATACGTGAAAATAAATTTAAATGATGTTGAAATTTTTCTGGAATCGGTTGTTTTTTAGCAATCAATTTTAATACATCATTTTGAGTAACAATACAAGATATGATTTTATTTGAAACTATTTTTCCTGCTCTAATTGTTTCAATTATTAAATCTCTGCATAATGATCTCATTTCTTTCGAGTTCGTACTATTCATTAAAAAAATAATACTATATAATAATGTATCCGTTATTTTGTCTTTATTAGAACATTCAAGTAAAATTTTCAATACTTTTTCATTTAGTTCTGAGGAATTATTAATAATATTGTTCAATTGATCAAAGTTTTGTTGAAATAATTTCGGTTTAGAAAATTTTGCTAACGCTTCAAGTAATTCATCATTCGATTTATACTTTAATCTTAACAATTTCATTTTGCATTGTTGACTATTATCTAATTTCGATATATTTAATAGTACATTAATATCATTTTTCATAGTTTCATCACAAATAGTATTTCCTGCTAGATCTAATAATATATCTGTACTTTTCTGATTAAGTTTAACTTTGTGAAATGTCACAAGTATTTTCAATCCATTAAGACTTGCACGAATCACATTTTGATTATTTCCTTTTAATATATGGATCAAAACTGATTGAATACGTGAAACTAAGCTAATATCATTAGTTGAAAATCGTGTAAAAAATGTAAAAAGAGAACTTAAAAAATTTTTTTTAAAATAATCTTTGTTTTGAATCAATGAAAAAATAACAGATAAATACTGTTCAATAATCAATGAATTTTCTAAAACTAAAATTTTATCTAAAATTTTTGTGAGTATATTTTCTGATAAATATTGACCTTTTAGTGCAAGAAGTACAAAAATCGATAATACTTGATCTGAAATCAATGTATTTTCTAATGCTTTCTCTAATTTAGATAAAAGTTTAGTTGGAATATTTTGATTATTTTTAACTAAATTTTGAAATATATCAATTAACTGACAATTAATTTGTCGAGGATTGAATCTTTCTACTAATTTATTAATTAAATTATCAGGTATCGATTGTTCATTTTTACAAGTATTCAACAAAATTCCGAAAATTTTTTCATCGAATACAAATTGACTACTCATTATTTTATCTAATATTTTAAATCCGTTAAGTGTTATTTTTTGATTTTGTTCTGTCATTTCGTATAGATAAGACATAGCATCATTCCTGTCTAATGAAAAAGAATTAATAATACTAATAGCCCTTTCTAATTCTAATATATAAAAAAATTCATCAGATATGTCTTGATTATCATTGGCTATATCTAACAGTTCAAATGATTCTTTTCTTAATTGATCATCGTTCGATAAATAAAGATTATCAGTGAGATGACGCAAAAATTTTTCATTAATAAGTTGTCGATTTTTAATTACATTACTCAATACTTTTGTAGCTTCATGAGAAATTTCAGGTATATCAATCGCATTTTCTAATGCTAAAATTGTATCTTGTGGAATCGAATATTTATTTGCTGAATAGTTATAAAGTATCTTAATTGCTACAACTTGATTACAACTTTCAAACGATAAAATATGATTAAATATTACAAACATATGATCATCGAATAGATTATGTTTAGATACATTAAGCAAAACAGATAAGATATTGTTATTTACTGTATCAGCAAAGGTTTCTTCATCTAACTGTAAATCATCAAATACATAAATTTTTGGTAAACATTCCATATGACTTTTCATAATAGACCCTTCGTTGGATGATAATTTCACTAGACCTCTAGTATATGCAACAGTTGAATAGACGATAACATCATTTATTTTATTCTCTATGTGTTCTTTCAGTTCAATTAAAACGTCATTTCCAAGTTCATGAGTTTCTGAAGCTAAATATAGTGCTTTTGCTGATAAAATACATGTCTGCTTATCATTACTATTTAGTGCTTTTGTAAGATGCTCAAGAGTTCGATTATTAATCATTAAATTGTTCTTTAAAGTATTTACAAAGATTTCAGCTGCTAAAGATGAAATTGATTGACAATCTACATTATCGCTTGACATTTTTTCGCATGTAATACCAGCTCCTTCGTTCACTATTATCCAATCAACTAATAATTTAGTTGACAACTTATCTACATTAGGTATGATCTGTCTCTGAGAAACAATATCTAATGCTATAATTGCAAGACTATTAAGTTTATTATCATCTTTGTCAATATTTTTAATTAGAGTTTGAATAATAAAATCTGGTAAATGTCGATTTTTAACGGCAGTCAGTATTATTGATCGTAATGCTTCGAGTTTTAATTCAAAATTATAAGGCAAATTATTTAATACATGAGCAAATATTTGTAATTGACTCTCATTCAAAGCTTTACTAGAACTATGTTCAAGATAATTATTAATTATCATACAAATATGTAGTTTTGTCTGTTCACTTAAATAAATGTTCTCTAATAAACCAATTATTCTGCAGATAATATTTTCATTAAATAATTCTTGACATCTTGTCTCATCTGTACTCTGTTGATAGATATATGATATTGAATCTTCTACAATAATATTTTTCTCTATATGTTCTAAACAAGTTGTAAAAAATTTCTTATAATCAATATTATCACGATCTGCTAAAGTACCTAATATTTTTACAATAATTTTTTTAAAGTCAATATCATCATCATCAGTTTGATGATGTTGAATTTGTTTCAAACGTTCATCGTTCAATACAGTCTTATTTCTGGACGAACAAATATATATAGTTGAAATTGCGTGTAATCTTATTTTCTGTATTTCAGATGTAATCGCTTCTGCAATCCGTTCATGATTTGTAATCGATTCATCGTAGATTTTATGTGCTAAATTTATAAAAACATCAGGTTCATTTGTAAGAGTTAATTTAGATTTCTTTTCATTACTTTTAGAGTGATCATTTTTTCTGCTTTGATTTGTCATTAGAATTTCTCTTGCGATTTTCTCCTTTTCCATAGTTTCACCTAAAATTTTTTTTTCCAAACGATCGATAGTATCTACGCAATTCATTAGGAGATCAATAACATTATTCTGTAATATCTGTCTTTTAGAAATTTCATAAAATATGTAAGCAATCATTCGATCTGTCAGTAGTACTTTAATGCAATTGTCACAAAACCACTTTTTTTCTGGTCCTAGAAATTTTGACGAGAAGTATTCATCTTTATCTTGCTTTTTTAATGCTTGGACACTTTTGACTCTTTTATAGAGATATGCAACTTCTCGATAGGTTGTTCGAAAAGGAGATCCATCAGATCCATCTTCGTCCGATATAATTGGATAATTTTCTCTATTATAAAACTAACTTTTGCTTTCTTATTTGAATTCTTAAAAACATCAATCGATTTTAATCTACCAGCTGATTCTTCTGACTGATTACTTTTGTATTTAATTTTAACTGTATGCTGACTTTTCGTAATTGCTATTTGTGGTGTTTTTTTATTATAATTTATTAATGCTTGATTTTTCTTATGACTTATTTGTCGATAGTTTCTATGACTTAAAAAATTTCGTATTTGTCTTTGCTCATACAAAAAGCTTATTGCATCAATATTGAGATTATTTTCGGTTCCTTCTATGACACTACTGATTTTATCGGCTAAATTTTCATCTACAAATTTCGCAGGATCGTTAACAAACGAATTTTTAATCTGATAACCGATAGCCCATATCATCTCGGATTTTATATTACATGAATGATTTTTCTGTAAGACTGTTAGAAGTTTTCCAACTTCAACATCAAGATGCCCTTTCTTAATAGCATATTTCATGGCTTGAGCAAGATTTAGTTTGATATCGTCATCAATATTCTCAGCTATCAAGTCTTGATAAATTTGGTCCCATTTATCTTCTGGAAGGCCATGTTTACGTGTGATATACTTTATTGAAGTGGACACTCGTAAATGAAATGCATTATCTATTTGATAACCTTCATAAAGCCTGCTGATAATCCGTTCTCTATTAAAGCTCTTAGATTGCTTGCAAAACTGTATGGCTTTGTGTTGGATTCTTTCCGTAGACATACTCTCATCCATCCGGTTTTTAAGAAGAGTTAGAAAAAAGGGCAATAAAATAACATCAAAATACAATAGGCAAAAAAAAACGCAACACTATTATTTCAACGTAATGTAACTTTACTTGCCGCAAGTAAAATTAATAGATCTGAATTATTTCGATAATTTGGCAGTGTAATTCAACTTTTGTAATAAGATAATAGTAAATTGTAAAGCGCCGTCTGAAATATAAAATTTAACCAAATAAATCTAGATAAAAAAAATCAAAAGCTAATTTATATCAACTGAAAGATTTATAAAAAATAGAGGGCGAAGGTTGTTAAACAATCAAATCGATTCCTCTTGAAAATGAGTTTTCTCTCTTTCTAACAGTGGTCAGAGTGTGGGTACGTGCATTTAAGTTTTGATGACATTTACATCCATAAAGTTGTTCCTGAAAGATATTTGATAAATCTGTTGAAAAACTGTCCTTAAGAAAAGCTTTGTTGTACAATTGTCGTTAAAAATTCACTATTATCATATTCTTTTTTCGACGAATTCTTCATTCTGTAAATCTTCAAGATTATAGACTACATAAAATCAAAACATGTCTAGCTGTTGACATTGACAAAGAGTCGTAAATCATTAAAAGCTCATTAAGGGTAATTTAAACGTTTATCACCGAGTTTTTTGTCTTCATTCTCCATGATCTAGACTAATTTATTACATCTTAGTTTTAAGACGGGGACACTGAACGTTTACAACGAAAAATTTCTTTTATATATAAGCTTTCAAACAGATGCAGAAAATGGCAAAACAAAATTTTCCAAATGTCTTGTGATAAAAATTACAAATAACCCCGAAGTTTAGTGTTTCAAGGAATTTAAGTTAAGTTTTTAAGAATGCGTCTCAAGTCGTAAACAATTCAGTCTTAAGTTTCTAGAAATACTATTCTCATCCTGTCAAATAAATTGTGCTAAAAACTCACACTGTTTCTTCGATGGATAAACTTGTTTTCAAGTTGCTGAAAAAATGCGAAAAACAACGCAATAATGTTGCACTAACCTTGCTTATATAAACGATATAAAGATTTAACCACTACTAGCATATTACTGTAGCTTACTGCGAAAATAAAAAACATTTGTTATCAGCTTACATACTAATTCTTACGAAAAAAGAAACAAGATATAAGATGGAAATAAAACCGACGCTTCATTGCTGAGATTGCATTTTATATGGAGAGTCTTTTTTTCCTTTTTCAAATAATGTAATCGGAGCTACCATCTGTCGTCTATAAACACAAAGCATGCTCTCTTCTAATATTACCCATTGATAAATTCATTGACGTCAATAAATTTAGTGAAGTTCAGGGTATTCTGGATGTGGAAGTGAGTGAGTGTGTTAAAAACACACATCAGCATCCATACTTGCATTCACATCCAAACCCCGAGCGCGATTTATCGAAATACAAATACTAGGACCAATCTAAGTTTGCTTTTCTTTCAAATAGACGAATGTCAGTTTCAAAAAAGAAGGCAGGTGGGTAGTTTTTTAATAACTAATTAGTCACTACAACTACCAAGAGTGGGCGTAGATGTGATTGATGAAAGTATGCACACCCACACCCAAATACCTAGATCGACTCTAGTTGTCGAAGAACTGAGGAATGATGATGAATAGAATCAGATAGAAACGAAAGAATCGTGGAAAAAAAACATTCATAAAATCATCAACCTAGACCTACTTTCGTCTAATAGGTACCTTGCGGCACAGGGTGCTGTCCGAGAACAATTTACATAGGCCCGATATTTTTCTTACATTTTTTGCTAAATGTAGCTCTTGACAGAAGACCAACCTGTCGCAGAATTCTTCTCGTTTAATCTACTAAGCTCCTCGTCCATACTGATTAACCACACACTAGCCACAAGACCTTATAGCGTATGCCAACGGCATAGCTAATTTACTATCGGATGGTTAATTCGAAACAAAGCAGCCGTTAGCGAATTGTCCAAGGTCATCCTATGACTGTTGGAGACGTGGTTCTTATACAGTATCTTGTGGGTATATGTCGAACATATTAACCGTTCAGTCATATGAGCCATCATCGATCTAGCAGATGATGTATGTAATTAGGAAAATAAACAGAATTCTCAGTAGACAGATGACTGCCAGTAGATCAGGTGAGCAAATATTGGTTATTCGAATTTATTTCCATATCTATGAAAACAAGTTCTAGTCTTAGAAATGCTCCGAATAAATTATTTATATCGACCTAGTAATAAAAGGGTGTGGATCTTGATCAGAAAAACGAACCCACATCCATACCTTCATAAAGAACGAAAGACATGATGATCAATATGTAACTCACTTAAATATAAGGTGAATCATATGATTTTTGTTTCACCCCTATTTCTCATTTCACTGATGTATAACTACATATATCTAAGAATAAAAAGGGTGTGGGTGTGGATGATTCTTTCTACCACACCCACACCCTAATAAGATCATACTGAAACGATTGTTTGAATCTCTTATGACTTTCGTGAATAAAATCAAGAAATATTCCCAGGAAGAAGTGAAACGCTGAAAATGCCGTTTAAACTGTCATAATCACCCGTTCTGTTAGGAAACTGTGATAAACAGCAAGAAAAAACGTGATCATCACTTTTCTTGCCGTTTTTACGTCTAGTCAGCGTTTCCAAACGTTATTCACATTAAATAATCTCTGAAACGGTTATATAAGTCATTTTCTTCTTCGTAAAAGATCGTGAGAAACGTTTATGATCATCTTTTCCAACGAAAACAGCTGTAAATGCTCAAAGTAGATTAATCTTTTTTCTTGGGACTGGTTCCCATAATTATTTATATTCTCGTGAATTTGTGTTTTTTATTGTTTCACAGTACGCGTGAAAGACATTTAGTCCGTTTGGAGCTTCCATTTATCTTTTGATCTGCTGAATTACTTCAAAAAAGTATTCGCTGTAGATTTAATTATGTGAAAAAGAGTTCCTTTGATTAAAGTAAGAATCCGCATAACATTGACATCGTATGAATCAAAATCATGTGCTGGTGCGAACATTAGAATATCAAGAAAATACAGGTTGATTTTATTGATTTAAAGTCTCAATTTTCACATTGAAATCCTAATTTTTTGATTATGTTCAAAGCTCGAAACGTACGATAAATTATAAGTTCCTAATATTCTCAAACATAAAATTGTTGCATTAGAGTTTTCATCGCAGATTATCAACTCATCAGTATATGAGCTAATTGAAACTCGTTTTACGACAAGCAATACAACATTATCAATTATGAGCTACATAATCTAATTAGAAACTCTAGCCAAGTCAAAAGAGAGTAATATTTTCAGTTAATATGTATTTGACAAATGTATGTGGCATAAACAGAACGAATCTCATATGCTTAGTAATTGATTGCTAGTCTTAATCAAATTGGAGAGATAGGAAAGCAGAGGGAAAAAAAGAAAAATTTAAGGCAAGAAGTAAAAGAAAAAAGTCAGAGAAGAGGAAGGAAAAAAGAGAAAATAAATTCGTCCAACACACTCATTCATTGATTCGATGAAGATTGCTCAATAAGTAAACATCACTTCTACGAGCAATGTAAATGCACACAAAGATAAGATACACGAATGATATCTGAATTTAATCTAAAATACTATTCAGATTACGAAGAAATTCACATATTTACTGTATACGAATTGTGAATAAGGATTCTCATTGATCGTTGGTCGAGCTTGGAAAAAATGAGCAAAAAGATTCAGATAACTCTAATAGAAGAAGTCTTCAGATTTGAACGATGTAGAGGATTTAGTTTCACCTTACGTTCTGCGTTTATTTTTGCTTTTTCTTAGGATAGTATTTGTGGAAAACTTTCTTGTACATTCCATCGAGATGGTTGACAAAATACAAT